AGAAAGCTTAGCGCAAACTAGGAAGGGCCCTATGGATCAAGCAAGCAATAGGACTCGACACCTTTTGGCTATAACACATGAGTGAAAAGATCGGTGCCTCGCATTTGGAACTCTGAGAATCTCCGAATGAAAAGTGCAAAGTTCCTCTCACCTTGGATCTTCTTTTGTGTAAACGTTCTCGTTCCCTCTAGTGGCCAAGACCCCTTGGCTGACCGACCACAACATACAACCTTCTTTAAGGTTATATGCTCAGACCAGACCTCGGCCCTAACACACACGACACCTTGTGAGTTACATGCCTAGATGCCTTTTAACTTTTTGTGACAAAGGCAAGAACTTCTGAGACATTGACTACTATTGATAAGTTTGGTCACGACCTAGCCTCGGCCTCAAAGACCCTTAAAGAAGCGAGCCTTTGGAGGACAACAAGTTGATGCCGGCCAATGACTTAATAAAAACACACAACAAACAATACACTAAGTAAATGGCGATTCTCCACTAAGACAACCACTTGTGACCTCAGGCACAGATCCCCTATGCAATGATGCGCTGAGCATGATGTTAGCCTTGACCATAATCAACTTCCTTCTTTTTTACTAAGGCAAAGAGCTCCAAGAATAAGTAAAGAACGACTAGTGGTGTTAGCATCAGCCTAAAGGACTCTAATACAGAACGTCCTCACAAAAAGACTAAGTAAAAGACACTTTAGAGGTAAAGGATTACTATGGCAAGTTTCTTTACAAAGATGCCTCTTTGGGGGGGAGGCATTGGCCCCAAGCACAAAGCAAAAAGAAGAAAATAAAAGAACTAAAGAAGAACATCTTTGGCAAGAAAATCAAGTGTCTTTAAAGAAAGGCCTCTTATGGGGGAGGCATCGATGGCTGGGCTGCCATCCGTCCCCAGTATATCTACTACTTGGTGAGCTTCAACAACAAATAGGATCTAGCTGACTGACATCGAATCTCGGAAGGACCTTCATCACTTGGGCCTTACAGTCCTCGAAGCCCTCCAAGTAAGCCTGAGATGCAAAGGATGTCAGGTCTGTCTCATGTTCCTCCGAGGCCTTGTATTTTTTGACTGTCTTCATAGATGATTCCTCCAGTTTCTTCACTATTGAGGCCAAGGAGGACTTCAATTCCTTACAAGCTCTTTATTATTGGTTTCCTTGACCTCAACTTTCTTGTGACGCTCGTGCTCGTTGCGTACCCGACTCTCTGCCACCTCTCGACTGGGTTGCACCTCGGTCCCTTGTTGCTTCAGACGCTTGATCTCCTCTTGTGCCCGCCGAAGTTGTTGAATTAGCACTTCGACCTTGTCATAGAGGTCGATCGAGCAAGAGACCATCTGCACATAAGAAAGGAAAAATGTTAGTCACATACCATGAAGACCTCAATGACACGACAGACTTGAAGTAGTATACACATACCTCAACGGCCTTGTCCAACAACGTGTCCCAGACCGAGCCCATCAAATATTGAGTCTAGGAATGGTAGTTCCCGAGGAGGACCATACCGACCGCTAACTGTCAGCCGACACCCAAGACTGACAAGGAAGCCCCCTCTCAAACACTCCATGTTAGCTAGAAGATCCGACGAGCGGTGAACAGCTCGTTGTCCCGTAGATAAGACGACCAAGGCTCCGCCTGATGTGACCCACCCGAGGTCCCCTTGGGTCGGCGCTGCTCATGTAGCTAAAGCCTTTTTGCCTAAGGGTCTCTGGCCATTTCGGTAGGCGCTTCTACGCCTACGTCTTTCTACGAGCCACCTTGGCCTCGATTGTTGTCTTGTGGCCCCCTCCTTCGGCTAACGTCGAGGCGTGCTCCCGGTAGTTTCCTTCCCGACGGTTTTCTTTGGCGTTGCCATGAGCAATTTTTCCTTGCTACCGCTCTCCGTTTTTATGAACAAGAGAAGCAAATGAATTAGAAGAATGCCAACAAAACTCAAGAAACTCCACAACTGGTAGACAACGGGAGCGTCTATACTGAGGGGGGTAGGACTAAGGTTGGCCATCACCAAGGCCTCCTCCTTCACCAAGGGTCCGACGTGAATCGTCTTGCCCAGTTGAAGCCGAGTCATCACGACCTTCTCCTCATTGTTGTTGCATGGCTTTATCCTCTCGATCAACGTATCTTGTCTCCTCCAACCAGATCGAAAGGACCAGCCCTTGGGGCAACTCACGAAGAGGAATTTCTTCTTCCAATTGTGAACAGACAATGGGTTGTCCACATTCCCCATTGGCCTTGAAAGTAAAATAGGCCCTCCTCGTTAGGGTGCTTCCTCAGTGCAAACAAACATCGAAATATATTCAGTGTCACTGTCACCTCTTAGAGACGAGACATCATCAATACGGCCACTATCGTCCAAATGGCATTAGGGGGCAAGATCTCAGGGATAAGGGGGTGCAAGGGAAACCGCAACCCAAATTGAATGTAATGCTCATGGACACACACCTCCCCTTCAGGAGTAAGCCACAACCTATCACCCACATAGGGACTCTAACCCTATAGTCCCCTGGAATGTGGTACCTCTCGGCCAATGCACTAACTTGCTCCTTGCCAAGAGTGCTATCCAAGCTAAAGCGGGGGTAATGCCCTAACATCACACCTCAGTGCTCAGCCTCGGCTCGCTCCACGACCTCTTCCACACCCACCACATTAGGGTGCCCAAGAATACTCCCTAGGCCATTGGCCCTCGGCCGCATGGAACTAGTGCTCTTATTGGTAGAGGCCGCACTTTGCTGATCACACTCGACCCCATGAGACGCGACTTTCTCCCTTTGCACATGGGCACTAGACATCCGAGAGGAGCTCTTAGAGTCACTACTGCCACTCCCATCACTACTAGGAGCGTTGCTAGGAGTACTCCAATCAGGAAGGTTATACTCCTCACAACCCGAATCCGAGGCCGATATGTTGAGGACAAAAATCCTTTACTTGAAGATGTTTGTTAAAAAAAGTTTAGGGAATTGGTTGTCGATAGCCGAGGTGTCCTTAATAGCTCCCAAGTAGAAGGTCTCGAACAAATGGTGAGGAGTTGCTTAACATGCCTCCCTATTTAAAGAAAAATGTACAATTCAAATCCAATTGATCCAACGGCCGTTGACTTGCCGACTTGACAGCCCGAACCGACAAGCTCCACGTGGCACCGACCTCGGGAGACGAAACGATGCCAAGAGACGGGGTCGGTTCACCCATCGACTCTAGCTCACGGATATGCTGAACTGGACCCCCACACCATCTTGTGTATGACCTCATTTAATCGACCCCGATGCCCGTCTTGCATACAAACACGCAACGCCCGTCCTGCATACGGAAATGCGACGCCCATCCTACGTACGGATATATGATGGGAGACATCAATGCTCGTACAAGGAACAGACAACGGACGCAGACAACCTATACCAACACGGGCCACGGTCATGACCCCTCGGCCTGAAATGGTTCTTTATTGACGTAAAGGGAAAGCAGAGGAGTACTTGCCACACAACCCTCTAAGAAGAGCTCTACAGCTAAGGCCGGCGCCTCCATGCAAGTACACTATACTATCTTTGGCCATAATTGAGGCCTCAATGCAATGCACCAAACAACCTCGATCTCTATGGTCTTGAGAGTGGAGGGCAAGTGATATAGTGGTATTCGATTGACTTGTAGGCCTTGGCACATGGCCAGACGCATCCCGACCATCCTGTAGACCCTAACAAGAGGCATTGGCCAAACGTATCTCGGCCATCCTGCAAACCCTAACATGTGGCGTCGGCCGGACGTATCCTACCCACCCGTCACCAACCACTGCCAACCATTGCCACCTACTTCCAACTATTCCTCTCAGGCAACTCCAACTATAAAAAAAGGCTCCCACATTGAGGTAAACACACAGAGGAGCTTAAGCTCTAAATCTCCTGTCTTGGTCATTTGACCCTTTACAACTCTTGGCTAACTTAACCGTCCTAGTCTTTGCCCTTGAGATAACTCTCAGGGCCTTTAACATCTTCTTTCTCTTAAAAGGTAGGACCCATCGGCATTGGACATTGGAAATTATTTTATTGCCCTCAGCTCCATATTTGGTAGCAAGACACATTAAGCACACTCTAATATCTGATAATATACGAAGTTGTTTTTTTTTTCCAAAAAAATATTAGTTAATAGATATTAGAAAATATTACTTATAAACAGGAAGCAATTCATTTTGAATTCATTATGGTTCCCGGATCAAACCGAGCCAATCATAATTTGCTATGTCAGCCTCATTATGTGGAACAACCCACGTATGCAGAACTAATATATATATGGCGTATTGGCCCAATATTACAAGTAGAACTGTAGATGATCTGAACTCGAACCAATTTGGATTATAAGAGTTAGTATAAAATAATAATTATAAGGGCGTATGTATACATTATTGAGACATTGGAATTAATTAGGGCATGAAATGAGTCGGATCTGGACGGCATGAAGCCAAATCCAATATCCACATCCAGGTGAGGAAATGGACTCCTGTGCGTATTTGGATTTTGGATCATGAGCGGGTCCTATGAGTATGAGGTATATGTTCCCATCCTTCCATCCATCCTGTCCAGGTTTTGATTGCATCATAGTTGTCGCATATATATATGTATGTACTTTTTGTATGGATCTTGTCAGGACCCAAACTAGCAGAATATGGGTATGGATCAGGGTCCACTTCAGACCAGCCTGTTCCATTTCATGCCCTACCTGGAAACATGTGCTGGAGTGATTAATGGAATCTTTGTTTTTCTTTATGATTAAAGTTCAATACTAGTCTTCAGTGGATCCATAAAAACTTTTGAACCATCAACAAATAAATACTAATAAGTAATGCTCTAACATATAATCTCTATTCAGTTTTGCTTTTTAATTTGATCTTTTATACTGAAAAATGACATTGTCAAATGGTTTAAATAATCATCTGGGTATGGAATTTCTTATTTTTTTTTTCCTGGAAATCTGGCAATATGTTACCCAACCATCCAAAAGAGAAAATGGTGGTTCAATTGGTTGCATCACAAGAACGTTCAAATTATGCTTTAGATCTATTTTTCCTAAGCCATGCAGCTTTCTACAATGGCGGTCTAGTTATTCTTACTACGTTTGTTGCTTTACAAAACATAATATCTTAATGCATGGGTTTAGCCTGATTAGAGTTTATAAAGACAACACAGACCCTGTGCATGTTAATCGATCCCCTCATCTCTCTTCCTGCTTTCTTCATTTTCTAGCTTCTAACAAACTCTCTAGTTTTATTGTGACTACCCGTGTGCTGAAAAAGGCAGTCCAGTAGCTTGGTCTCTAGGGCTTTGAAATGTGAAATCTGCATCAGCAATTCAGAGTTCTCTTTCCTTAGGTTCTTGTTCTCCTCTAGCAGCAGATGTTTGTTTTCGTCAACTGATGCAGCAGTGACCTTATAATCCCTTTTAGAAGCTTCGAGGAAGGCTGGAAAGACACTGGGCTCGCACTTTTTCCTAGTGATCTCCACAAGCAAGTCCCTACGTCCCTTTTGGAACTTGTCGTGGTGGAATTCCCATCTGTCTGTGGCTGATTTCTTGAAACCCTGCTTTTTGATTTGCACAAGTTATTGAAGAAAATTAAGAATTCTGATGCTGTATAAAGAACGTTAGGTTAGAAAAAGAGAAACCCATGGAAAGTGATTTCAGGGTTCTGACTGCTAATTTAATTTCTTCTGAAAAGTGCAAGTGGATGGTCTAGATATGGTGTTTGATATGTCTGCATGAAACAGTAAGAGCTGCGGTCTGTTTCTGCTACATCAGAGATAAAACTAGGGAATGAATCCACTTTAATTTTCTTTTGGATTAATTAAGATCCCAATCCAGTGTAGATATGGATTCCATGAAAATGATCAGTTGGGTTTAATCAAAGTCAGTTCCTTCAATTCCAAAAGAATAATGAGCATATTCATTCAACAAATTAATTAGGTAGCTAGCCATGCATGACTGAAACCGATCGAGAGAAAAACAAATTAAGGGTGTCATTAGAACTGTAGAGCTTTTGAGTTTTAATTTGAATGAAGTCTAGCTACTTACGTAGGTGTTAAGCTGGCGAATGAAGCTGGAGAAGTTTTTGTGCTTGAAATATCTGGGCAAGATGAACTGAGAGAAGTCTTCAGGAGACCAAACAACAAAGCTGTTCCCCTCACCGTTCCACGACACAACTCTTTTATTACAGCAGGAGTTATCATGATCTAATTCTTCTTCTTCCTCTTCCTCGAGGAGATCGTATGTCTTACAAAGGAACGGAGCAGGGCTTCCCGTCCTGGGCGACTGATGATGACTCGCAGTCTGTCTTATAACCAGCTGGTTTGGCTCCGTAGCCATTCTCAGGGACCCTAAAGCTTCCTCTGATCAACTCTCTTAACTTATATATATAAAACAGTACTGGAGGTATGCAGTATTCTAAAGGGAAAGTTCTAAGACTCTTCTGTTTCTTTCTTCGTAGTTCCTTCTTATTCTTTTCCTCTAAGCTGGTGGTGGTGGGCGTACATGACAATGAAGGGGAAGTACTGTTTATAATATAATAGTCATTTTCAACTTAGAAGAAAATGAAAGCCCGCGAGGTCTGACTAGCTATGGAATGGTCATTATCTCTGATCTTAGCTCAACCATCTCTCTCTCTCTCTCTCTCTCTCTACTTAAAAAATAATCTCTCCCCATTTTTTTATTATAATGGAGATTACTATATATAGATTTCAGACATTCTGTTCATTTGGGCTCTGTTCTTTGTGTCTCACGTTTGCTAGAAAATTTCTGTTGATTTCCTTCTCTGTTTATGAAGAAAAAATAGTGCTTTGTTCTATGCAATCTTCATCTTTCGTGCAAAACTATCTGTGATCAATTTTGGCTCCCCTTGAATGCATGTGCTATGTGCTGTGCAAAATGCTGTTGAGTTGTTTTCTTTTAGTCTCACATCAATAACTATAATCCAAACTTCCAAAGCAAAGACCTTGATAATAATGGGTGTGAGAATCAATCCACCGTCTGATGCATTTCATGAATTCAAGATCTACGTAACATTCATTAGCGGGTGATTTAATCAGGGTCTGTTATTGCGTGATGGGTAGCGTTGATCTTCATCTCTTCCTTCTTCCCTTCTTTCCTCAGTTCCAGTTTTCATAATAAACAATGAAATAAATTAAAGAAGAGAGTGTTGGTTTCGTTTGACCGCCAACGTGGAGACGGGGGTTAGATACTTACATTAAATAAAGGAAATTTTTGATAAATCTAAAACTATTAGATATCAACAAGACCAAAGCACTTTGCCCCTCAACTTTCTGTTTCTCTTATTTTATATTAAATCAAACACAGGCTAATCTCACTTGAGCACAATAGTAAATAGGGCTGTTCACGGGTTGGGTCGATTTTTCCAACCGACCCGACCTGGTCGGGTTACCTGATATAGAAATCGAAACCGACCCAGTGTTAAGCAAAACTGACCTGATCGGTTTGAGTTGGGTTAGATCGGTTTGGGTTGGTTTCGGTTCTAAGTTCATCCCTGTGATAAAATTTTGCTAATTTTAAAAACAGTCATAAATTGAACTTCATTTCAGCCATCTCTTATGATAAAATTTAAATGAAAAGTTAATCACAAAAGTTGTTCATTAATCACTATTCACTAATCCAAAGTTTCTTGCAACCATTCAAAAACTAGGTGGACTAATGGGCTTTGGAACTTCATGTTTGAACTAAGTCGGTTTGGTTCGGGTCGGTTTCGGTTTTCTTGTGTGAAAATCGAAACCGACCCGAATCATCGGTTTAGAAATTTGCACAACCCGAAACCGACCCGTGCTGATGAAAGCCCGGTCGACTCGGGTTGGGTCGGTCTGGGTTTGTCGAATTGGTCGGGTTGGGCCTTCTTATGAACAACCCTAATAGTAAATGTGGCATCTTCTCTCCTATTTTGGTAAGGTTTCCTTTATGGTCAGTTGGGATAAATATAATATTGTTAGACTTGAACTGTATAGAGGATTGATTTGGTGATTGGGTCATGAGTTGAACGGTTTGACCATCTAGTTCAATTGTCTAACTCATTTAATAAATAAAGATGAAAAAATTACTTTTCATCAAAATAGGGAAAATTTATGTTGCGGGAAAGACATGATATTGGAGGAGCTTTGATTAAACAAAATTCTTTACGATACCTATAAACATGGTTCAAAGTATCAATATGTATTGACCCATATCAGCCGATATGTGTCGTGCCGATGGTTTCCTAATACGCCCCTCTAGGGGTTGTGTCAGGTCAGACCATGGTTCAGAGGGTAGCCAGGCTTTAAACCGACCTCTCTGAACCGATTTTGAAAAACAAATAAATAAAACTTAAAAAAAAGGTACCGATACACCCTACCAGCGTATCAGCCTGTGTCGATACTTTGAACCTTGCATATGAAGTTTTCCAGTATCTTGCATTTCCAAGAAGAAATTGGAAGTTCAATTAATTTTTTCTTTAGGCCTAGTTTGTTTGTAATGCAATTTCATTTGCATTGGTGTAAAAGCATAAGAATGCAAATTCTGATTTAATTTTGTTTTAAATTTACTTTCTTTTATTTGTTTGCAGTGCAAATGAAGTAAAATATAACCTAAAGAATAATAATAGCCAGAGCAAAAGTGAACTAGAATTTACACTTCTTTAGTTTATACTCCTTTACATGTGTAATTGTACAAATGAAATTGCATTGCAAACAAATAGAGCCTTAATAAATGTGTTGGACTATGATACCAGAAAAAAACTTAGGTGGTATTTGGCACATCTTTTTATCTGTAAAAGCTCAAAAGACCAAAAATGGCAAAAATGAGAAGCCTTCAAATGAAGCTTTTGGATTTTCCACACAAATAGCCTTCCCGACTGTTTTTAATGGCCCAATAGACAATGTGCGAATCAAACGGTCTGATCTTTAAAGACAACTAGACAAGATCCCAAAAGCTTGATACATCTGGACTGTTGAAAGATCTATGTATAAGGACTTGCCAAACAGCCCTTTAATACCAATTGATTAGAATCATAAATCACGGGGTAGAGTTTAGAATCTGATTGGTAAAAACTAAAAACCCTTCCGGTATCATAATCACGTGAATGATGATGCTTGACTTTGGGACTCGCCTATAATAATGATCAGAACCGTTCAACCTGTGGACGAACGGTGCCATCAGAGTTGAGATACGGCATGGTTAAAGGAAGAAACTGGAAAGCCAATTCCATAGCAATGCCGTATAATATTTGAGATTTTGAGTCGCCTGAGTTGGACCTTGGACGTATTTGACCGTTTGAAACATTTATTGAACAACGCTGTGACAAAGAAAATACAAAGGTTAATTTGGTCAAGGCCGGCGGGTGCATCCATATCGTCCACCGAGTCACTGACTTTCCGTGTAACTGGGGGTGAGCAAAAGGTTCAAGTTGTCCCTGCGGCTTCCAAAGAAACAGCTTTTTCTAAAACACAAGATCAGCAGTGGCACCAGCAACACCAAAAAGACTAGCACTAGGCTCTGGAAACAAGAGCGAGCTCTGATCCCTCTACAGTCTACAGCCTGAGGATATGAAATTATGAATAATCTTGTTAAAATTCAGCTAAAGATGATTAACCTATGCACGATTAAGCATTACAAGAGATCAGTTTCCTCGCCTCAAGAGTCAAAATTGCCAAGCTTGTACTGACAAGCCATTTCTTCCCTAAGCTGAGCTTGCTCTTTCACAGCTTGGGCCTGAAAATCCAAAAATGGAGGGACTAGATGACGCAATTCAGAAAGTTTCATTGATTAAAGAATTTATAATTCAAGACAGATGAGCGGTAAAGTAAGACAATTACCATTCCGCTCTCCATAGCATGCTTTAAAGCTTCCATTTGTTCTTCCTTCTGTTTCTCACGCTCTAGCATCAATTCTTGCCTAAGTAAACTGATACATATACCGGCAAGCCAATAAGCCCAGCCCACATTCGTGCCTCACACCAAGCCCGTGCAAGACTGCAGCACCTGAACCATTCACCAATCACCACATAGCGTGTCAGCTGGCAATATTAGCTTACCGTATTATTATACAATAAAATACTATGTTAGCAAACGATTGAATGCAGCTAGAGAAGCCGTTGTAACTAACTGATAGCAGGCAATATAAAACCTGCCCATTAGTCGATTACCATTTGAAGGTTATGAATCATTTTAGCCCTAAATGAATCTGGTAATTCTCCTTCTTGAGGAGGTGCTTCCACCCAGGGGTGTCAATTGGACTGGATTTGGTCCAATCCGGTCCAGTCCAATGTGAGTCCATTACAAATGGACCTGGTCCAATCCAGTCCGATGAATATTCTGGACCATTTTGGACTGGTGCAGAGACTGTCCAATCTGTTCAAATTCCTGTTAATTTAGATTAGTTTCAACTCAAACCTGGTCCATTGACACCTATGTTCTTATCTTCTATCAATGGACCAGATATTGGTTTAATCCAATATAATTTCATTATGGACGGACCAGGTCCAATCCAATATGTCTTATTGGTCCATCCAATCCGTCCAAATTGATTTTGACTTGGACAGAGTCCAACCCAAAACCGGTCCATTGACACCCCTACTCACCATAGCTCCAAGGCATGGACTGACCTCTTCTTGCCGTTAGGAAGAGTTGGATATCAATCTGGTATCAGAGCCTAAACTATGCCTCCCAGTTTCAAATGTGCGGCATAGGTGGTGGTGTCAGTATTGCAGTGTTCGGCCAGGGCTAGGTGGATCAGTGCAAAGCCAGCCTGCGTGGGTACTAGGACTGCGGAGTGTGGTGGAATGTTACGATCCATTTGTCCCACATTGGTAGTATGGTATGCTAATGTGAGATATCCCACATTGGTAGTATGGGATGCTGTTGTGCAGTATATATATATGTGCTCGGGTTCCCTCCCTCTAATAGCTAGCTTTTAGGGGTGAATTCTCCTAACATAAACAAAACTCCCGATTAAACGCAAAAACAATGACAAGTATTTACATAATTTAATGCAAATGATACTAGACATGGCAACAATGGAACAAAACTAAAAACATACAATGATTTAGTTATACCCCCAAGAGTACAATAAAAAAGTTGAGTACTTGCATAGAATAAAGGAGGGGCAGCAATGAAGTACTGGATTCATAAACCTGTGCTCTCTCTCTCTCTCTCTCTCTCTCTCATATCTTACCCACATGTTGCAATGCAAAATACATTAATGGAATTAATGATAATTCATACTTAGCTTTGAGAAAGACTGGCAGATGCTTCTTTCTAGAAAGAAATAAGTAGTATTATTGTAGTAATGTATGATGTGTTTATTGTAGTAATGTATAGTTGTCCAAATTGCTAAAAGTTTTACTTGATAACATTTAAGTATTATTGTAGTAATGTATGATTGATGTCTAAGTGTAGAGCCACAATTCAATGTAAAATAACAAATCTGAGGTTATCTGATCTTCCTCATCTGACCTCCTGACAAAAATGTAGAGCTTTTCTTTTATGGGCCTTCTAGTCTTTAGGAGTAGGAGGATTTTGAACAGGGTTCAAAGAATCGATACACACAATACAAAAAAATTGCATATCATGAGATTCAGAAGGGCAATATGCTAAGATTAAAAATGTTTCAAGCTTCAAAAATTGAGTCAGGGCATCTCTGGGAAGGGTATTTGACCTTCAAAAGTGGCCACATGTCCTAAATCCCCTTATTTGGCATCTTGGTGGGTTCAGAGACCAATATGTATTGGTTGATATGCACTGATATGTTGTAAATATTTTAACCTTGATTTCAACATTAATTAGAACCTTTTCAATTAAAGAAAATAATTATGTTTTTCTGGTTTGTTCCTTTCACTCCATACAGCCTTTGAACTTTATGGGCCCTCCTGAGTTAAATCTTTTAGGACTTTTGCATTTGGGAATCATAATTCCTCACTGTTTTTCCTAAATCACTCCCCTTTACCTATAGGGAATAAGAAAAGTCAAAATTAAAGAAAAAAAATACATCATACTTTATGCTCTGTTTTCCAGGACCTTCTTTGAACCTTTATTCTTTTCTTTTTCCATCTTGCACCTGTGGTAAGCATCTAAATCATAATATCTGCAATCATGAAAAGTTTGTAGTTTAAGTTTTAAAATAATTGAACTGTTTATAATAAAACTGAGATGAAAGAAGGCAAGTAGAGAACTTGGAGTAATAATGTCCCAAAGAGGGGAGTGGAACTTCAAGAAAAAACAAAGATCAGGCAACCAGAACAACCAAAATCTCCAACACAAGTGGTGAGAGTTATACTTTTGGCTGTTAATGAGAGATGTGGCTGGAAATAAATGCCTGTACTTTTATGACCATTTTCAGATGAATGAAGTGGTGCTTAGGAAGCTGTTGCTACATCTTACACCCAATTAACTGTCCACAAGCAATTCAGGGAAGTTCGTTGCCAGTCCTTTTTTTGTATTTGACACTTTGCAAAGAAGACAATTTTTGCATTTTTAAGGATCTTCCTCAGCCTCATAATTCCTGTGTCCATGGGAATCACTTGCATATGATTTTTGATTGACATAATTAATACAGTTTTACTTCATCTTTCCAAGAAGGCCCATGGAAATATAGGCATGCTGTAAGGGAAGTAAAATATATTGAGTGCTATTCAAGCCACAGTGGGTTGGGTTCCAAGGTCTGCAAACACTTTGGCGATTCACTTACAAAGCAAGTGGCAATGAGGAATCGAATGTTTTGGGAATTAGTCCCCCAAATGGGGGGGGGGGGGGTGAAACTTAATTTTGATGGTAACAGTTTGGGGATTCTGCAATGAATGTTTGTGTCAGTAAGTGTGGCTAACCACCAATATGAAGGTATTGCTCTAATTCCTGTAACAATCTTCAGTCTTTTATTTTAAATAAAATAATCTGTTATCTTCTCAAAAAAGAAATTACTTCATCTATTCAGAATAAAAAATTATTCATTGTTATAAAGCTTCATATTATCAATCCAAGCAAATTTTCATTCAATCAATGGTGAGGGAACAACTGAATCCAGTGACAGGAAAATTATAAGAACGGAACCCACTACTTGGAAGAACACAGAAATGCCATAGAGAAGTTTCACATCCCCTTCCCCTTCACAACAATAATGAATACCAAAGTTACTTGAAATTAGGAATCATGATGGGCAGTTAATGGAGTAGAATCTTACTTTTTTGAAGGAAAGATAGCTGTATTATGATCCCCCATGAACCTGTAAGAAGGATAAAAGTTAGCAGAGAACCTCAGACAAAATAGCATTAAAAATAGTCAAATACAATATGGATGTATCATCTAGAGTCCAATATATTTTCTTCTATTTCATATAGGAATCCTAATTAGGAATAATTAAATTCATCCAACAAACTCATAGAATGTTTAAAGCAGTCTAGTCTTACTCTTTGAACATTTGCTTCTCTTCCCAGTTAGATAGAGTTTCCTGGTTCACCTGTAATAAAAAATTCGAGTTACAGAAGGGTACAGGAATCTCCAACTCATTAGAAGCACCTTTAAGTTTATTGAATGACATGGACAAATCTCCTTCAGTTAATTATTTTACACATAAAATCAAACAAGCTAAATGTAAATTACCAAAAATTTGGCAAAATGAACACTTTTAGCCAGAATTTTTTTTTGGGTACAAAGCGAAAATGAAATATAAAAAACACCAATAGTAGTTGAATTTGGCTATGAAATGGAAAAGAAGAAAATTTCAGTTCTAACATTATTGGTTATTGCACTAAACTATCTGTGAGAAAATGAGAACTAGATACTGGAACAGGTTCCCGATTCAAGAAGTCCAAACCAAATCACTGCTCAAGTAGATGCTAGATTATAGTCATTTAGATCCATTAATTCAAGAACAGTCTGGGTCATAAATTACCTATCGCTGACAATGAAAAGATTGGTGAGTCAAACAGTCACTGAAAGTGTCAAAATAAATAAGTAAACTTGGTCAATGATCAACTGTAAAGATAATTATGACCATGTGGTTTTTATTGCTACCACTTGGATGGTGGAAAAATGTTTTAGAAAGGTGAATTAAACTTAGATGATTTAAACACAACCTATTTTGACAAACTAGGCATAACTCTAATTAATAGTTAAAAAAGAATACTTGTCAAAGACTAATACCCATGAATCAACAGTTATCTCAAGGAAGAGTGCCTTTTATCTCTTCATTAGGACATATCTGGTTTACAAAAATGAAAAAAAGAAAAACAAAAAAAAAACACATGCAAGTCATCTAAACTCAAATCCAAGACATTTTCATAAAAGAATCCCCACTTTAATACAGTTCATATTTGACATGGTATAAGGAGTCTCCATGTAGCTTTTTCCCATGGTCAAAGGTATTTGCATTTCCACTTAATCCTTTCCTTTTGCCATATTTAAAGCTATTGGACTCAAATTTGCTACATCAAGGAAAGGTGATATTAGTGGATTCATAGTTGTCCACCCACATTACCTACTCTCTAGCACTGCATGGAAAAATGGCACTAGATGACTTCCTCCCACATTTGTCAAGGTATCTAGGTAACTTCTGCCAACCAAGGGTGCCTAGTCACATAGGTTATGCCTTGACAGCTATGCTTTCTGGAACTATAGCACCATCAATTTGGAAGACTACCTTTATTAGATGGATCATGGATGGTCCATACTTGCTATATGAGCGCTCCAGGCTTCCACATGCAAGAAAACCCTATTTCAGGGAGGAAGCTATTTCAAATTTTCAACAACTGGGAATACACTTATTTTTCACTTTCAGTTTTTCTATTTTAAGACACGAACCCGAACAACATTTCCCTTAAAAAACATATATGATTATTTGTTTATTGTAACCACACAATTGTTTACTTGTGGCTTCCATGAAGTGTGTGAGACAGGGACACCCTGTTTGACTTCTGCTAACCATGCAGTGAATTCTGGTCGCCTGTTCCTCCAAAAGAAAAGAAGCAATTTGTCAGAAAAAAAGTAAAAGCTCACTAAAAGAACTACTATTAACTTCAACATATTGATAACTTTGTGTCAATACAGGATTTATACTTAAAGATGTGAAAGCTTCATGTTCATCAATATGGATAATTGGGAATCAGTCTACTAGGTTTCTGGTTTTAAAACTCAATGAGTTACCAATCTCAAAAGGAAAAAGAGAAGAAAAAATGGAATTACCAGAGGGTAAGACTTGTTGAAAGTTGAAGTCACCTATCTATGGATATAGGCATCTAGATCAGAAATGAATGGCATGACAAGGTAGAGCATCATTAAAATGCATTTTATCAGCCGTCCCTTGCATATCTTCCTGGAGAAACTTGAGTTTGAACCTTTAGCACCAAACTCCAAAAACACTTGGAGTAAAAGTTGGCAGCCCAATTAGACAAAACTAGGAGTCGAAATATGTCATATCAAAATATTCATGATTATGACATAATAAAAAATGGTAATTACATGTTGGTCTGAGTTATCTTGGGTCTTGGGAGGGGTGGACTGACTATGAACCTAACCTTTGGCATTTTTTTGCACAAAATGGCCTCTCTAAGGCTTGAACCTGCGTTCTTACACTTGCCATCCTAAGATTTTAAGATGCAAGAAATATAAAATAAAACATCATTTGTACAAAATTTACCATAAAGCAAGAGAAAAATTATCAAGACAAGTATTTCGTTCTCCATCAATAAGAGAAAGCCATGACCACTATTATCCTTATTTGTATTCCCCAAAACTTTTGGTTAATTAAAGTTGTGACCTATGGCCACTTGGTTATCTCCTAAATTTCAGTGTGGAATGACTTCCTCTTGTGGACCTTCTTAAACTTCTTGCACAGCCCAGTCCCATATAAACCTGCTTTTAATTGAGAAAACTTTTGCAATGTACACCAACCTCTGACTTTTTTTAATAATACTAAATAAGTTGCCAGTATAGCATATTGATTTATGTTATGTTGAAACCAAGACTATCCTTTATTAACTATACAAATAAAACTTTAAAATGAGTTATAAACAATAAAATATTAAGTAAAACTAGTGAATAGATATTGTAAAACTTAATCTAAAATCAAAATAAATTGAGGCAGAAAATAAGAGAATTGCAATTGCATTCATTTTAAGTTTTACATATATTTATAAACATTAAAGAAAAAACACATTACATACCCACAAACTATTCATCAAATGCAACGTAACACTTATTATATAAACAAAATGTTGTTTTTTTTTTTGCATCTTATACAATATCCAAATCAGTTGATAATGAAAATTAATATTCTTCATATCTCTACAAGATTTATAGAGACTTCCTTAAAATTGCTTTTGTGAAACACTTTGCAAAAAAGATGTATTGAACCTTGTTCAAGATACGAGCCATTCTTCTGCAATGGGTTTTCTCAAGACTGAAAACTAAACTGTGGAAAAGGTACATTTTCCAGATACAAACCAGGTGGATTTATACATGAATTTTCTGATGCTCACAAGGTTTTCATATCCCAATTAATTGGCAAAATCTGCCACCAGAAACAACAAATTTGACAATATTATGTTAATGTGCATTACCTATTCACGTTTCATCATAACTAATGAAGTTCAACGATTTAACAAACTAAACAGCAGACCAAAGTCAGAAACTTGACTAACAATGTAAGCAGAGCACTCCTTCAAACTTACATATCGAACCTCCAGAGTTAATATTCCATGCAGAATCCAACTTTGAGATTTAATATTCGTAAAAGCAGAGGACTGAAGCTAATTTCAATTCTTGAATAGAATCAGTACCAATCATGAAAAAGAATACGCACTCCGTTGAATTGCAAAAGCAATTCCTTACCTCATGTCAGTTTCCCTGATAATGCCGCACTTCCCCCCATGAATTCGTGGCAGCTCCCTTCTTCCCATCCTCCTTTGCTTTATCCGACTTTTTCTTCTTATGCTTATCCTTTGTTTTCTTCTCGTCATTGCCCCTCTTCCTCCTCTTCCAATCCTTCTTCTCTCTTTCTCTCCGTCTTCGACGTCTCTCCTTTCTCTTCCTCCGCCTCCGCTCGTCTTCACTCTCACTTTCTTCCGAAGAGTAATCAGAACTCTCCTATTCAGAATCATCAGAATACGAATCTTCAGAATGCGGCGAATAAGAAGAATAGGACGAAGCAGACGAATCGTCGTCGCTGTGATGCCTCCGAGACCTTCTACCTTTTCTTCTTCTTTTCCTTCCTTCTACTATTCCTCTTGTTGTCTCCTTCGTGCCCCCTGGAGTCTCCATCTTCGTCATCGTTGTTGTCAGTCTCTTCTTCCTTTTTCCTTTTGGACTTGCTCTCATGATCCCTCTACGATGGTGCGTTGGTGCCTCTTCTTCACCATCTTCTCTTTTCACGTATCCTTCTTCATCCTTTTCTCTGTCATCTCTTTCTGGTAAAGATCCATTTCTTCGAGTTTGATCTTTCGCCATTTTTACTGGGGGAAGAAGAGAGAATCGAAGTGAAGGGACAACTGTTGCTAACCACACCTGCCTGCTGCCTCTGGGCTCTGGGCTCCGTCGGGTGGCGGCAAAAGGCTGGAAAGGGCTGGACCGGAGGGGTGCTGGTAAAAACCGAGAAACCGAACCGATCGGTTCGATGAACCGACCGATAATATTTGTATACATTATATTAATTAATTTATTTATTAATATATTATATGTATTTATTCGGTTCGATTTCCAAACCGAACCGTGAGCATCCCTTGAAAACGTTGTGCGTCTGATTCCATTTCCATTGGTGATGGTGTGTGGGGCGCGCTGTGGGCAGCCGATCCGATCACGCGCATAGGGGCTAGGGCTTGAGTTAACTTAATTAACTCCTCGTCTCCTCGTGGCACTGGCACAGTTTGAAAACTTTTCAAATCTAAAACCCTAATAAGGTGGCCTAAACCCCGTGCTTCTCAAGCCAGGCAACTCGCAACTTCATCTTCTAGACTTCTACCAAGAACTCACCAGCCAGAGTTGCTTCGCTTAAACGGACTCAAGTCTTTTCTCGATGTTGAATCGCTTGAGATTAAATTTCCGGTCTATTCGTCTAATCTCTGAAACTATCACGGAAATCATATCAGTGAGCAGATCATGCCATACCAGGAGTGTCAGTAAGACTACTCTGTTTTCGAAGATCAGTCCTCTCGGACAACCTGGCTCCAGTGTCCTTCCGGAGCTCGACAAATGGGTCGAAAATGGGAAGAAGATTGGAGCAGCCGAGCTCCAACGCATCGTTCGCGCTCTCCGCAAGCGCAGAAGATTCACACACGCACTAGAGGTTCCTTTCTGTTCCCAGATTACATAAGCATCTCATGTCTAGAATTCCAATTTTCTTTCGAATTCGGTTATGAAGGATCTTAATGGTACAGAAAATGCTGAATTTCATAATTTGAACTGTAAAGGAACTGAATTTCATAATTTGAACTGTAAAGGAACTGAATTTCATTCCCCGGTTGGTTTTGAATTTGAGGATTCTGTAGAAATGCACTTGTACAGATCATGTCTTCCCTTTGTATTTGAGTGGAATAATATCACTACGGTTTTTGTTGATCAGAAAGGTAGCTTTCCTTCAAAGGGAGCGCTAAGTGCTAAGCCCGTCACGAGCCCCTCTTTGTTAGAAGAGTATTACAGCTTAAGCCAATGGAATGTTATTAGAGTTTAGAGTTTGAAAGATATAGATGTTTGTAACAGAGGAATAGTCTGACAAAGTTGGAACAACACTTGGCATTTTTCATTTTGCCCATTAAAACATACCAAGATTTCTCTGGTAATTCATGTAGAGAGCAAACGTAAAAAATTAAAGACATGTCCAGGAAAGAAATGGAAATAGGGCAAGTACTAGAAATTAATATGTAATAGTTATAATGATAATAACTCTATTGTAGCTCTAACTTAATATGCTAAGCGTACAGATATGTCATTACTCATTGCTTAGAACAAAATATATGCACCTTCATGCTTGTTTAATTGATGTTAGGGCATCTTATGTCACTGAGTGTAACTAGTCTTAAAGTAGTTGTATTTGATAACAACAGGTCTCTCACAGATAACCAATTTATGATGTACTTCATTTTCATATTGCCTGTACTTTTTCTATGAGGAAGAAAGGATTTCTGATTGGTGTTACAAGCAGTTGGTTTTCACTTAGCTATACCATTTGCAAGTTGTACTTTTTCCTAATTTTCTTGCTTGGTGTTGCTACGTGGATGCAGATATCTGAGTGGATGGGTAACAAAGGTATTTGTAAATTTTCATCAAGGGAGCATGCTGTGCAGTTGGATCTAATTAGTAGGGTTCATGGGCTCCAAGCTGCTGAAAGCTACTTCAACAATTTGGATGATCAAGATAAGACTGAGAAGACCTATGGTGCTCTTTTGAACTGTTATGTTAGAGAATGCTTGGTTGATAAATCTTTGTCCCATTTTCAGAAGATGAAGGAGATAGGCTTTCCTCCATCCTGTCTTACATACAATGATCTCATGTCTCTATACGTAAAAATGAGCCAGTATGAAAAAGTCCTCGATGTGCTGATCGAGATGAAGGAGAACGGAGTCTCCCCTGACAACTTCAGCTACAGAATCTGCATCACCTCATACGGGATGAGATCTGATCTTAATGGAATGGAGAAGCTTCTAGAAGAAATGGAAAGCCAATCCCACATCACCATGGACTGGAATACATATTCCATGGTGGCCAGTTTCTATATAAAAGCAGGTATTATTGACAAGGCAATTAGTGCCCTTAAGAAATCAGAAGAGAAGCTAGATAAGGATGGGCTTGGCTACAATCATCTGATCTCACTCTATGCGAGTGTTGGGAATAAAAATGAGGTAATCAGGTTATGGTGTCTTGAGAAAGCTGCTTGTAAGAGGTATATTAACAGAGACTATATTACGATGCTGGGATCACTCATGAAGCTTGATGCATTTGAAGAAGCTGAAAAGTTGTTAGAGGAATGGGAGTCATCTGGTAACTGTTATGATTTTCGAGTGCCAAACACTGTCCTTGTTGGGTATTGTCAGAAAGGGTTATCTGAGAAGGCGGAGACATTGCTTAAAAGCATAGAAACGAGAGGTAAGACTCCAATTCCTAACAGTTGGGTGATAGTAGCAGTGGGATATGAAGGTAAAGGTGAGATTGAGAAGACCATGGAGTGTATGAAAAAAGCTTTGTCGTTGTCTTTGCAAGTGGGTAATGAGAACTGGAGGCCGAACCCTAAAGTGATTAAATGCATATTGAATTGGCTTGGTGATGAAGGTGATGTAAAAAGTGCAGAAGCCTTTGTAAGCTTGTTGAGGATGGTAATCCCTATGAACAGGGAGATGCACCATGCCTTGATCAAGGCAAATATCAGAGGAGGAAAGGAAGTGGATGAGCTTGTACAAACCATGAAAGATGATGGGATAGATGAAGATTTGGAAACAAAGAAGATACTGAGCTTAAGACAAGAGCAACCAAAATGATCAAAGGATGTTAATCTATGTTTCTGCTGAAGCTCTAATAGTTTAAACCCCCTCTATAGCGCTCTAAAGCATAGGTATTGTGTTGTCTTGGTCATGGAATCAGTTGTCAGGGGAGGTTGGGATTATAGAGACTGTTTTATTTATACCTTGGATGTGATACCACTCTTTTATTTGAAATGTCCTCTACTAACTAAGGATCAATTGGTCCCCCATACACTTCAATTAATTTGTGATCTATTTTTAGTTTTTGGAGATACAATAATCCTTGGACTATTGGAATTATAGTGTTAATACTTCAGATTATTAACATTATTCATAAATTTTATTCTATTGCATCTAGTATCCAAAAGTATAAAGTCTACCTAAGGCCTTCTTTTTATCACTCTTGGCAACAGATTACCTAGATAATATCCAAAAGATTGGATTGGACATTGTCACTGTGGCAAGCAACTAATACCAAGTAATTCATCTAAAAACTGGTTTACTAGTGAAGATCAATTACCACAGGATTCAAAGCCTAAGTATCAAATGTGATATAATAAATCTAATGGTCATCTATTTGTTTCTTTTGGAAGGTGTAGGAGAAGCAGTACTCTTAGCAGTATATTTTGCTGTGGAGTCTACCAAGAGAAAATGATGGGGATTTGTTTTGTTTGAAACAAATTCTCTTCTGTCTTTAAAAGCATTAAAGGGAAAACCAGATTCTGTCCTTGGTCCTGTTGTAAGATTTTGGACAACATTCAAATCTGTAGTAAATGCTTTGAATGGTTTATATTTAAGTATGTTGGTAGACAGGGCAATAGAGCAGCTCATTTAAATCACCCAATTCTCTTTTATTTGGCAGGCACTTGAAGATGTAATAATCTGTACAAAGGCAATTACCCAAGGGTTCTTGATGTAACCGTTTCTGGTCACATACCATTTTTTGTGATGTATAAATTTTTTGGCTAAGTACCTCGTTGTTTGACTCGGTGGTGACGTGTCTTGGTGATGAGCTACTTGGTGACGAACTGCCTGGTGGCGAACTCCCTGGTGGCGAACTGTCTGGTGATGCTCCCTGGTGGCGAATTGCCTGGTGGTGCTCCCTGGTGGCGAACTGCCTGGTGGACTCGTCACTTGACTTGCTCCTAGGCGGTCTGCAACTCAGAGGATGGTGGAGCTCCCTGGTGCAGTGCAACCCGACTACCATTCGCGTGAGGTGATTTCCTCTCCTTTGTAGGCGGCGGGAGCTGAGGGACCTGCGAGAACTGAATCAGAGGACCTGGGGGTATTTTCCSGGCGGGGMCTCTCYRATGCCTMAGTTAGCATTCTGATTACAGAGAGCTTGGAGAGAAATGAGAGAGCTAGAGAGCAGGGGTTACCATCATTTTTCTTCCCCCCCTCGGCTTTGGGGGTCGGAGTCCTTATATAGTGGTGTCCTCGCGGGTTAGGTGGGTGAAAAGCCTTCAAACGGTAATACTCGTCATATCCCGTCAGAACCGGGTACGGTGATGAACTCCTCGAGGTTGTCAGGATGGCGCTTGTGTCAGGCGGCCAGGTCGGCGCCTGGGCCAGGTTGTCAGGTCGGCGCCTGTGTCAGGCGGCGGATCGGTGTTTGGGCCAGGTTGTCAGGTCGGCGCCTGTGTCAGTCGGTGGGTTGTCCGGGCCAGGTTGCCAGGTCGGCGCCTGTGTCAGTCAGCGGGTCGGTGTCTGGGCCAGGTTGTCAGGCAGGAGATCTTCCTACGATACGCCAAACTACTCTTCTGTACCGAGCTACCCTACAAGTGGCGAGAAGCCCGGGGGAACTATGTCGAGCTGCCTGGCTCCTTGGTGGCGAGCTCTTTGGTGAGCTACCGAGCTCCTTGGCGAGCTACC